GGCTGTGAACATTCTAAACTAACACAAGTCTCATTAAGTGTCCAGTTTAAGGGTATTACACAGAAAAATACCAAGGGAACATGAATCAAATATGTACTTTTATTCATTTACAATAAACTCATAATGTACATCATTCTGATTGAAACTAAGGGCATACAAAACTGTCTAACATGAGGTCCTGACATGAGAGCCTCACCGATCTTGTGTTGAGGTCCCCTCCTCAACCCAAGGAAAGTTTAATGACCTCCCTTCAGAACCGCCTGAAGACATGTTGACAAAATGAAAGGAGGCAAGCTTCAATCGGTGACCTAATAGCAATTCCCCTGACGGAACTCTCCTCCAACTGATCACCCTCTCCCTCGGCAAAAATCTCATAACAGTTCAAGTGGGACCCAATTGGGGATCCCCCTATTTATAGCTTGTTGGTGAGGAAAATTGATGGCTAAGGTGCCCTGTTGGCGAATCGATGGTCAAAAAGACTGCACTGCGTGTGGGCTGATTTGAATTAAAATTTTTTGCACCTAACTTGTGTGCTCACCTAAATTTAAAAAATTCAAACCTCGCTGCAGCCTCGCCCGTCTTTGAGCAGAGTTGGGCGAACGAGCCGAGCGATTTGCAGATTGTCCAGACAAATTACCAGACTGGGAGAGGCGATTGTGAGCTACTCTCTTCGCTGAGCTAACTTCGACTCGGGAGTGAGGGGAAATTGATAAGGGGTAATTTGGTTCTTTGAATGACATCACGACACGTGGCTTCCTTGATTAACTAGATGAGACTTCAGCACTGAGTAAGCATATCAACTTGACAGAGCAGCTAGCAGCACCTCGTCCAGGGCCGACCTATAGTACCTCGACCTGGCTGACCTAAAGGACCTCGGTGTAAGGAGCAACCTCCTCTGAGTACCGGTCGAGTTGACGTGGGTACAGCTAGCGACCTATGAGACGTGCTCGCTGATTTACTCTTTAAGCCCGTTATCAAGTCCAAATTCTTTGGGAATAACAACGCTTGACCATTAAGCCCACCTACCTGCATCATCCACATTAGAGTTGATCGGGTGGACCTTAGCCCTTTGCGCGGATCATGTAACTGATAGAGATATTCTCTTTGAACATAGCGGCAGCTACTCTTCGGGAATCTCAGACCCGTTACAAGAGGTTTCCAGCCCCTCACACCTATATAATGGCATCACTTTCTTGAGAGAAGGTAGGTGCGATTCAGCTCTCGCATACTCTGACCTTCTAGCATTCTAATTCCCTCTAAAACTTCAAACTCGCTGACTTAAGCATTGGAATGCCCACCCCAGGTAAAAGCAACCCGGGCACTCTAATACTGTTTCCCTACAGGTCTCCCCAAAGAACTATACAGTTCGCCGATTAACTTAGCTTGACAACCAAGATACCTCCTAGCTCGGCCTTACTCAGTTTGGCAGCTGAGTCACTCCCCATCAAGGAATTCTCCAGCTCAGCATCCGAGTCACCTGCTAGTAGGGAACTGCCATATTGTGCATCATCAGGAAGAAGCTTGGAACATCTTACTCGGATCTTTTGATAGTCTAATCCGACCACCCATGGGAGGTGGTCGGACTAGTTGAGCATCCTAACAGATCGCGCCCTTCTTTGACAAGTCTGCTTAGTTCGTCGATTTACTTAAACAAGGAACTCAACTCATATTGGCGTCCAAATATAGAACTCATCATGTTGTTCAATGAAGCACGTTTCAGCATGTCACAAACACTGAATTCTCCTTTACAATCGCCGAACATTGACACCATTGGACGGTACGCGAACTTGGTGTTCATGGGTTCAAATTCATTAATTCCCTTATCAAGTCAATCCAATTATTGGGTCGGTGTTATTATGGTTCAGTCTTAAGGTAGAAGACAATGAAAGTGTTTTATTTTCAAGAGTAGTTTTGATATTTTAAAAAGTTTGAACACTGCAATGACACGTTTGAAAGTTTCCTATAAAGAAAACCAATATCAAGATCATATTTAAATCGATCTCAGTAGGCATTACATTTGACCCATTTCCATATCAATGGCAACAGGAGAGAGAGGGAGAATCTCATTAGGTGGTGGAATGTATGTGCTAGCCGATAAGACACCAGCAACCAAATGGCAAAGGGTTGATTCTCCCAAGTCCCAGCTGCTACATATCTGCAATCAATCGCCAATAGCTATGAACTTAAGATGAGTCTGTCTCGAATTGGGTAGTTAAATTTTCTCTTTTGTCAATCTTTGTGTAAATGCCAGATCTGGCAAACGCAAAACTTGGAATTGGATTTGGAGCTAGCTTTTCACGAGGTGGCTGGCCACATGAGAGAGATATCCATCTCATCCAATCTACGAGAATAGTGTGGAGGAGAAGGCAACGTTTTGTTCGGCGGGTAATCCCGGTTCCTTGGGCCATACAACCCTGTCAAAGCTCTGTGTCTGTGATGTTTGGCAGGAAAAGGGTTCATCTAATTGGTCATCAACTCACTAGTAAATCTCGAAGGATTTTGTCTCTTTTTCTCATCTTTAATGCAACTCCTTATCTTTTTCCTCCAATATGATAATATGATAATGGGGAGTACATAACTCACTTTTAGATACTCTCGTTTGTCTGTCTTTCTTTCATTGTTCTACTATACATCAAGACCATCTCTACAACAAAATTCTCTATTTTGGCAATATAGAAATTGCACCCAAGTCATGTTGCTTTCATTAATGCTCTCTCTCTCTCTCTCTCTCTCTCTCTCTTACAATCCACTCCAACAAACACACAAAAGTTTGGTTAAAGGTTACTCATGAAACAATGGTCTGATGTAACCTTAGAAACAGTAATTGCATATTGAATTGAAATCACATTTTTACTTATAAACTTGAATATTGGCCGATCCCGAGATTTCTTGGCACAAAGGTGCATTTAATTTCAGATCCATCTCAGGATTACAGTTTGAAAGGTTGGTTAATCTGTAATTTCATCATGAAGCACCCATTTTAAAGGCGAAATAAGCCCCACAAATACGTACTTGCTCATGGGAAATAGTAGCCACGTGGAAGATATATGAACTAGGTTTTGCCTTTATTCTTGATCGATCCATGTGCTTTAATTTATTGTGCCCAAAAAAATAAGTTTTTGATTAGATGCCCATGATGCAGTTTGATCGGATCAAACTTCAAAAATCATGTTGTAAATCTCAAAAGTCGTCAGATAATTTAAACAAATTTCTATGAATTAATAATCTCAACCCCCCCGAAAAAGAAAATGAACAAAGTTTAATTTGTACATACAAAATAGATTTTCTTGATATGTATAAACTAAATAACGGTTTACTGTGGATAATAAAGTTTTTGGAGAAAGCACTTAGCAATTTAAAGGGAAACACTTGTCTGATATTGAATAAGGAAGTAAGGATCTGTGACATACAATTCAAAAAGGACCAAGAGAGACCTAGCTACTAGATCTCAGGTTAATTCGATTTGGCAAACGGTATAACCTGGCAGACTAAAAGGTTCTACATTCACCAAGTAATAACTACATGTGGTAATAGACATCTGCAGATATAGCAAGAACCCATCAATGGGGTTTTCACTTTCTGGCTTAGAATTTGATGGGCATTGCTGCAACTCTAATTACCACTACTCCCTGAGACCCTTCACAACTCCACAACAATTTTCACAGGTCAGTGGCTCCTATTTTATTTTATTTTTTTGCTCATCATCTTCTTTCTTGTTTTTAACTTTTGATAGATGGGTTTTCTTTCTTTTCTCTACTTGACTTGATTCAAATTAAAATAAAGCATCTGGTGTTCTTGTTCTGGTCTTGTTTGATTGGATTGAACCAAAAGCATCCATGGAGAGAAGCAGGTTGAATGGCATCAAAGACACTGGCGTAGATCGTATAAGCCTTACAAATAACAATGAATACTACTGTCTTGGAGGAGATTACTTAGGTGGGTTTTCAAGGCCTCCAAGATCATATACGTGTAGCTTTTGTAAAAGGGAGTTTAAGTCGGCTCAAGCTCTCGGGGGACATATGAATGTTCACAGGAGGGATAGAGCCAGATTGACACAGTCACCTCCATGGGATGGTTCTGAACTCAAGCCTAACCCTAATGCCGACCCTAATTTCTTATTGCCATCTCAGTCTACTAGGCTCTCTTCATGCACTTACAGAGTTCCTCCATTGCTTTCACCTAACTATTTTTCTTGTTTCTCTTCACCCATTTCTGCATCTTCTGATGATGAGCTGAAAATGAGGAGTGCTGGTTCTCCTCTTGATCCTTGGAGCTCCAAGGGTGGAGATATTGCACAAAGTAAAACTGAAACCATGAAACCTTTCTTTGGGGTTGGGGAATTAAACGGTTTTCTACAGGAAGATGAGCGTAAGATTCTGAAGATGGCGGAGATTGTTAGGCTGGATCTGGAGATGGGTCCCCATGGAGACTCAAAGGAGGATTTGGATTTGGAGCTTCGACTTGGATACTCCTAATGTACTCTCTTATACAACTTTGTGCAGGCATCATCACTGTTTCTTGATGATTGTTTAAATGGGATCATATCGATCTTGTACTAATATTAGTCCATGTCAGTTGCATGTAGATCTAATCTAATACTAGGGAGAAACAGTCATGGAGATCAAGATATACAGGTGAATAGAACGATTAGATATACAGGGTGCAACTTTAATTTACACTAGTGTAATGAGATTATTCAATATTAGATTCCGTTACTGCTCACTGCTTTGATGATTTAATTTCTGACTCCTTGAACTCATTTTTCTTTCCTATCGTAATTCGGCATGAAATTTTCTGCTTCAAGTTGATATTCCCTATAGTATGTTGTTTCTCTCTCTCTCTCTCTCGTTATGTTAGGCTACTTCAAGAGTGTAATTAATTATATATGTATGGATGGCCTTCTTGTGATTTCTCTCAAAGATTTTATTTTTTGGTAAATGATTTTTCGCAAAGAAATGAAGACCACCTTGTGAATAATTCCATTTAATTAGTCTCCTGATACTAACTTGCTAGACATTTATCAAGAAAAACCAAGTATATATGGGATACACTATTGTGACACGTGGATAACATGATGGTGCACGTGTAAAGAAAAGAATTATTTTTATTTTCCTTAAAATAAGCTGGTCTCTGAATAATTAATTCTATATTTATTCCTCCCCAGTCCCCACCATAAAAAAGGCAATTGGTGTTTGTATTGCGTTAAATGTTTTAAAGGGAAAATCTATGATGGGAAAAAGATATGGTATATAGGAAGAGTTTTGACCAATCAAAATCCACTCATGAATTTTGATAAATAACACTTGATTGGCTATCACGTTTATGATTTCAGCTGATTAATAAGAAGTTTTTCAGATATCATATCTTTTCCATACCATAGTCGAACCCTATAAATATACTTGATTAAATCAAGATTTCATCCAGGAAGAAGTGGCAGGGTAATTATCAAATCAGGTTACTATTTGTAATTAGAATTATAAGACAGTTCATATACAGACATGCCCATCAAGATCATTGTTTTGGAAGAAAAAATAGATTAAAAAAATTAATTGGGTTCTTAATACATAATAGCAATATTTAAGAGAAAAGAATTTTCATGAGTTAGTCATAATTATCCAATGTGTTGGTCCCAGCTATCCAAGGTATTTTTGGGAGGGGTGGGCTGGATATGGGCCTTATCTTTGGCTTTTTATTTTTTCAAAGTGGCTCCTCTTTCTTACTCAAAGAAAACTAAGTTACATAAAAGCGGATCTTGCACCGAAAGCAGGACGAGCAATATCTCAATCCAAAATAGAGTTTACATGGCACCCCACAGCTCATCTCAACCGTGTATTGGAAACATCTCCCAATGACAAGTTACGGGAGATGTGATTTGATCTCTCCAATAAAATCTTGCTCCCTCTCAGACTTGAACTTGAGTTCTTAGACTTGTCAGTTGAAGTAAATCAAATAGAGAATCACCTAGGCAGCCCATGTGCATCATAAACCAAATTTGCAAGACAAATAACATGTTTGGTTGCATCATATTTGGAATTATATATTTTCTCTAAGCCTGTGAAAAGTATTTAATTTCCTTTATAATGAGTTTTTCCTAACTTTCCAACCCACTTCTTTCTCAAAAAGGATTCATTATTTCCGATTGTTAGTAGGGGAAAGAAAAGAAGAAAGTAGCTCTTGAATGAATCCTGAAATGACCATTCCTTTACTTTGTTAACCATGGGGAGTGGTCCCATTAATTTTAAATGGTTAATTGGTGCTAAACCACAAGAAAATCAGTACTTATTGTGCAAGGAATTAAAACAGTATATAAATGCTTACAATAATCCCACAGGTTCAGGTCCAGAAATAACATCTGAAAGGATTCTTTAAATATTATTTTTAGAAGAAAGAAAGAAAGAAATGAGAGATGGGGATAATAAGCAATCTTTGTTCATTCGTCCTTGAGTCTGCAACCACCCCTCACTTGTCAATGATTCAAGTGGTGTTTTGGTCGTCTTTGGGCGTGTTTTCCGATGCCTGTTATCTTGCATGTTCCCGACAATGTCTGGTCCTCAGTTGGATGATGGCTCTTTCCTTAAACAGCGACAGATATTTTCTGCCTTTCTCAGCCTTCAACATTTACAGCTCTACTTAGCTAAGTAAGACACTAAATAGTGATGAGTAATATCTCATCGCACGACTCACGTCATCTTTCAATTCAACGAAGAATCATGAAAATACCCCTTTTTAATTTATTATGCATCCTGTGCTATAATCACCTACTTTTACAAAAGAAAATTAAAATTAAAAGTTGATCTGTTAGACAGTTTTGTATGCCTTTAGCTTCAATCAGAATGATGTACTTTATGAGTTTATTGTAAATGAATAAAAGTACATATTTGATTCATGTTTTCTTGGTATGTTTCCGTGTATTATCCTTAAACTAAACATTTGATGATGCTCGTGTTAGTTTAGAATGTTCATAGCCAGTGGGTCGGTCTGGGGAGACCTATCCTGACAAGGCTGACACTGTGGTGCCATCAAGTCGGTTAGGGTGGCCTGTCTCAGCTGCYAGGGTGAGACCCTAGGCACATACAATGTAGGATTAATTGAATCTTTGAACTAGACTAGATTTTCAGTATTGCCCTGGACCTTGGAGATTGATGAGCAAAACTGGAAAGTTACACCCRACCCCTAGACTCGATTATGATACTGCACTAGGTGTCGGATTGGGCTGTCTTTGATGTACCATTCAG